CAAATGGTATTAGAGCCATGCCCTAAACTTAGTCACGTCAATAGAATCCTCAAATGTCGAACAAAGGACTCCAAAAGAAAAAGGAGTCGAGGCTCGATTAAGGAGAGACGTACTTTGTTCGAGGGGAGGTATTGGATGAAAGTCCCACATCGGCTGATCATGGGTTTATAATCAATAAATACTCTCTCCATTGGTACGAGGCTTTTTGGAGAAGCCCAAAGCAAAGCCACGAGAGGTTATGCTTAAAGTGGACAATAACATACTATTGTGGAGAGTCGTGTTCATCTAACAACAAAAGTTACTAAAAACGTAAAATTGTGAGTCAAGATTGTGAATAAGACACTAGTTACTATTACAAAAAGTTACTAAATCTATAAAAATGGGAGTCGGGACAGTAAATAAGACAACTACTTACTATTATAAAAGTTACTAAAAACATAAAAATTGGGGGTGGGGACAAAAGTTACTAAATTTACCCATATTCACAAAAATGTATGAAGATTTTCCTTTTTAATGCAAAAAATCTCATAAGATTTAGTTTTACATTTATCTAGATTTGGTTGTCAGTTCTATCTCTATGGTTTTATTTTGACAAGCTATGATTGATATGATTGATGTGAATATGCCCTAGCCACACACACATATATATATTGAAAATTATTGTTATTATTATTATTTTATAAAATTAAAAAACAAAATATTGGGCTTACTAGGATGGTTCAAATTTAAATATTTCAAAAGTATAGACTAAAGAATACAAAAAAGAAAAAAAAAACAACCTTAAAATACTAGAAAAATCAAAATGATATTTTCATCGTGTCAACGTGAGTACAACTCAATTAATGTAAAACATATACTTTGGATCGGGAGGTTAGAGACTTGAATTTTTTCCACATTAAAAAATATATATTTTAACGGCAAATGAGTCGAAAAATAAATGATAAAAAATTATGGAATTAACAAAATTTAGGCTCAAACCAGAGTAGCGAGTACATAATCTCATACCCGTTAATCAATGATAAGGGTCCTAATCAATTAAACCACGATGAAGTTAATGTTTTAATCTCAAATATAATTCATAGTGATTGAAGTATAACATTTCTTGAATGGTAGGAGGGCTATTTTACGTCTAAGATGGCATAAAATTGAGTGATGGGTCATTAGATGGCCCCAATATGTTTGGCGCCGTTGGTGATTTGGAGCAGAGTGTGATTTCAAGTTTGTGTGTCTTTTCTGGGACATGGGACTTAGGTGCTGCATTGGGGGCTTTTGTTTTGCATGTCTCAATGTTATTCCCGGCACATTCTCAGTCGTTGATGAACCCAAACCCAGAAGTGGTGTGCCAGGAAGGACGATGTTTTAAAAACTTTGAGGGTAATATTTGCTGGTGGTGGACTTGAACGGTTACAAATAGTATTAGAGCCAAAAACTGGATGATGTGCTAGTGAGGAGGCTGAGCCCTGAAAGGAGTGGACACGAGGCGGTGTGCCAGGAAGAATGATGGGTTTTGAAGGGGGTGGATTGGGGGTCACATATTGATCGGAGAAGGGAATGAGTGCCAACAAAGATCCTAGGCTTCGAAAAAGGGGTGAATTTTGATATCCCACATCGGTTGAGGAGAGACGATGTGCTAACGAGGAGGCTGAGTCTTAACTAGGGAGGGATGACGTGTCAAAGAGGAGGCTGAGCCTCGATTGGAGAGAGACGATGTGCCAACAAGGAGGCTGAGTCCCGAAGAGAGGTGGACACAAGGTGGTGTGCTAGCAAGGACACGAGGCTTCAGAGGGGAGTGGATTGGGGGTCCCACATTGATTGGAGATGATTGGAGAAGGGAACAAGTACCAACAAAGACGCTGGACACTGAAAAATGATATGATATGAAGAAGACGCTAGCGGGATTGTATTAAATAATAATGAAAATGAAAAAATATTGCGACCTTATGCATTATTGTGTGCTCATTCATCGGGGGATACTCCTACTCCTTCACCATAGTACGAACGCGTGCGCTACGAGGCAGTGAATGATTATTATGTTTATCATAATGTTGCCGTGACGATCGCTATTTCTAATGGGTGTCCGGCATCAATAGCTACCAGAGAATGCTCGCCTGACCAGAAAGGAGCCCAAAAGGTGTGGGAACCGACTGGTGGGTCATACTCATACATGTAGACCATGCGTAGAGAAATTAAGTACACATCCAAGTTGCCCGTTAGGATAGCTGCCATAAAAAAATAGACGGTCATAATAGGTCTCATTTATGAAATTGTACGTGGTTGCATTTAACCTTAACAGGGGGTCACTTACTGAGTATTTTTTAAAATACTCACGTCATGTGCTACTCTATTTTTTCAAGTAAAGGTGAGACTCCCTTGTACGATCGACAGTGACATTGCAACTACGAGACTGTGGCACATGCATAGGGTAGTTGTACTTAATTTCTTAGACTTAGGTTAGAATAGGGTGTTTTTAATTTTAATGCTTATTTATTTCATTTAGTATTTTGTAGTGTCGTTTTAAAGATGTTTTCAGACACTTAAGTTCATGACAGTGTTCTAAGATAAAATTTTTATTTTATAATGGAGTTTTAAATGATTATTTCCGTGACAAAGGACACAACCATCATCCCTGAGGATACAACGGTGAGTTAACAAGTTTTTCGTGTAGTTTCTAAGGTAGTATCATCGCCAGTGAAGAGGAACGTATTTTTGGATAAAAAAAATAACGTCGTACTTCTCTATTTTAGGCCACGCAAACGTGCTAACTGCCTTGGTGTGAAGGAGAAGTGAACAGAGAATTAAGACTTGCAAGATTTGGAAGGAGGAATGACGAAGGACTGTAGAAAGCTCTCGGGAAGAAAGAGAAACGAGATCAGAAATTTGCGTGGAATCAGGTGAAGAACACGAGATCCATTGCACTCGAATCCGAGTCGAACACCGCCTGCAACAACCCACAACTCGAAGGCCAACGAACCAACTCCGCTCTAACAGCTAAAAATTAGTTATTCGGCTCAGGTTAGACATTTTGACACCGATTCGGCTCAGCTAAATTTGATATATTTAAGGTAATTAAGGTTAGTATAGAACTACTAAGGAAATCAGGTGAATGTTCGAATAGGGCGAACACCTCGACGATACTTGGAACAATTTCAAGGGACGAAATCAAGCGTATTTGAGCTCGGGAGAACGTTGACTAAGGTCGTCCAAGTACTATCGACATGGTTAGAAGTTGTGTTATGTATGACGACACCTGTAAAGTGGCTTTGCATATATCATATGATTGATATGTGAGGTGTTTATGAAATGATATGTTTGATAATATGATATGCTTGATGATATGATATATCTAATGAAATGATGATTGTTATGACATTATATAATTTAAGATATGATATGTCCACGACGTGATAGAATATGTTGAAGGATATGTTATGAGCACGATATGATATAATACGATGTATAACCTGAATGATACTCAATAAATATGTTTTGACATGATATAGAACCTCGAAACATGTTTTAAAGGCTATGTTATAAAATGATATGATACAATGGGAAATGGAAGGGGTTGTCTTACATGAGTTAATTAATGTGAAAAATGTTTCGACCTCGTGCATTATTGTATGTCACGTGCATCGGGATATTTTTTTCCTTATGATGAACATGGACACGTACGTTATGAGAAGAAAAACGATTGTCACGTTTAACATGATGGTACGATGGTCACTACTCCTACCGGGTGTCCGACGATAGTACTAGAGAATGCTAGCCCGACCAAAAAGGGGCCTAAGAGGTGTGCGAACCGACTGATGGGTCTCATTCATGATTCATGTGTTTGCACCTAACCCCAATAGTGGGGTCACTTGCCGAGTATTTCTTAAATACTCCATGTGCTACTTCTATATTTCAAGTAAAGGCAACACACTCTTGCACGGTAGTCGCATTTATTTTGTAGACCTTAGGTTAGTTTAACGACTCTAGATTTCTGCTACCCTAAAGTCGCTATCATCTACATAATATAACCTCTTATGCAGAATTAATCATTTAAAAATATTTTCATAAAACAATGTCATGGACTTATGTGTTTAATAAGGGTCTTTAATGTAACACCCTATACTAACCTAACGTCTAAGAATTTAAAAATACTTAACTACCCACTCAAGACACTGTGTGAGAAATCAAAGTTTTTATGAATGCCAAGTGACGAGATGGTTATAAAAGATTTATGCATGTGATACACGTGGTACTTTAAAAAATACTTAGCATGTAACCCAATTGTTGAGGTCACGTAATCTAAACAACATAGCATGACCTTGAGCTCTTTCGTGTCTGAGCAAGGTTGGATGTGTGTTACTTTCCTACACACGGCCCCCGTAGGAGCATATGGACCAACCAAGCGAGCTCGTTTACGTACTCCATAGGGGCTGGTCAACAGTTAAACGCGTTGACGCTCCGTCATACACCATAGAGGGAAAGACATGCATGATATCATGGCAAACCTAGATATCGAAGGTACGTATCCGTACTAGCTTGGTTATGACATGAATGAAAGGAAGAACGAAATGATTCTACATATTATACATAACATAGCATAACATTTATAATTATGTAAGCATACCCTATAGGGAAATGAGTGAATTTCAGCTTGTATGATTATATTCTTTGCCCCGTTTAGTACGAAACGGGTTATATCAATTAATGTTATTAAGATAAAGTACCTGAATTTATTCATATACTATAAACTTTTTAGGTCTATTATTTGAATAAATTTTGCTGTTATTATTTGTTAACGACATATATTCAACTTTGAGAAATATAGAATGAATATTAGAAGTAAAAATAAAAACTTAATAACTATTTTATAAATAAAAAAATATATTATTTATATATAAAAGTTAAAAAAAAATAGCTATTTTTTCAAAACAAAGGACGAGTAAAACGCAGCGTTTGGGTCGTCACTTAGCTTCCGGTTCGGTTCAGTTGAAAACCAGGCGGCAAAACCTGGAAGTGAAGAGAGCGAAAGAAAGAAGCGGAGAAATGGATTATAGCTTAGCAGCGTTGAAGCTTCTGTGCAGGCAGCTCAACGACGCCCGCCAAGCTCCGTCCAACAACGCCGCCACACTCGGCGGCATTCTCTTCCAACGCGCCTGGCTTCAGGTCCTCTCTTCCACATCCTTCCCTTCTCTTCCTCTCTCTCTCTCAATCCTTTTCTCTAATCGGAGCTCTCCCTGCAGGGGATTTTGGTCTTCGTCGACAGAGATAATGGTAAGCTGATTCTCGACGACGGCACCGGCACCGTCGAGCTCTCTCTTTCTGGCGACTTCCGCCAACGCCCTTGGAGCCTCGGTACTTGACCTCCTACTTTCCATTCTCTCTTTCTTTTATTTCTGCTGCCTTTTGATTTGGTTTCTCTCGCTTTCTTTGTTCGTTTTGTACAGGAATGTATGTGATGGTTGTTGGCGCTTATGTCGTCCGGACGAATGAACCGTCCATTATTGCGGTGAGATCGAGACTTCATCCTCTATTCCTTTTTGTTTCCTCCGCTCTCTCTTGCCTTTTTTCCTTGATGATCGTCCTGTGCTTGACATATAGAGAAGACTTCATTGTTTTCTTCTTAAGAGAACATGAAGTACTGAAAATTTGACTCGAACATCATCAGTCTACCAATTTTGTTGTGATGAGATCGCTGTGATTCTAATGATTTCTTTTGACTTTAATGTTTTATTTACTAAATCAAATTGTATTTGCTCATGTAGTTCCCTTCATCGTAATGTATTTCCTTGGTTGAACATTCTTGGCTTTCAGTTTTATTTTTATCTACAAAGTCTTTACAAGATACCTTTGCCGGGTGCAGGCGTATTCAGTAAAGAAAGCACTTCTGAAATCGGGCTTTCGTATCCTCGAAAATGAAACTAGTGCCTGGAAATGACGTAATGAAATGAATCTATAAAAATTAGAATACTAGACAAGTTATATCTATAGAAGATTCTGATAGAACATAGAAGAGATCCTTTTGAGATCCTTTTGATAAATGCCTACTTTGATTACCAGGCTAAAACAAGGACCAAAGAGCACCGCGTCTTGGTTTCTATCCTACATCTCTCCTTTGAATTCCGTTTGTGTTGCAACGAAGACTTGGTTTGTCTTAACTTGGTGCTACACCTCAAAGCGTAATCCGATCTAAAATGAATTGGCTTGGCCGCAAGGCCGGGGATATCTTCACCCTCATTTCTTTATTACTTATGAGTCATTCATTCAAAAAGGACAAGCAAATCATTTAGGTTAATCATGTTCGAACTTTCATATTGTATCTTTGGTTTGAGCACAATGGTCGTATCATTACAAATAAGAGTCGTAATATCAACTATTTTATAGAAGCCACCTCTCTTTTTAGCTATTACTTGAAGCAACTCGTTTCCTCCCTTTTGTAATTATAGCTTATCTACCATCGTGAATCAATTGAAGTGCTGTTTTGTAATTATTGTCTGATAGAATCTTCTTCTGTATTACCTACTTCATCATATCAATGAATGGTTTTTGTTTTTTATCAAAAAGTTTTCGAATGCATAATAAGAGGTTGATGCTTGGTTTTTGGATTATTGAACTGCATTTTTGAAGACACTGTAACATGATGATTCCACTACTTTCGAGAAATTTATTGAATCGATTCTTTTTAAGATGTATGCAGCCATTTAAGATTACAGCCTAACGTCTCTTATTACCTGGTGGAGACTTTTTCGTAATCCACCTTTGGTCGTTGGGAACAACCACCCTCCCCTTTTATAAATCTCATTCAATCAATGAACCTCTGTTACCCTCCAAAAAAAAAATAATAATAATAATTTGATATGTTGCTGTTGTACTTTATGGACATTATATATGGTCTTTCTGGGTGCATCAGCTAATTTTTGTAGGTTTCTACCTTTTGTAAAGCTTGTTGATTGGTTTCCTATATTCTCCAGGTGGTGCGAGTTTTTAAGCTTTTTCCTATGTTCATGGGTGTAGTAGATAAGCCAACAGCCATAGAAACATGTTGGTGGATAATTCAGTATTTCAGATGATTCTTTTAGCATTCGATTAAATTTCTATTGCTATCTTTGAGATGGTTGGCTTCTCTTAATTTCAAGCAAGTTTTATCCAAATAAGTTCTACATTTTAGCTGTCTTTGCCTCTCTTTCCATCATTTTCTTTGTACTACACCTTCATTTGCTGGTGTTCAACATGTAGGTGTGATGTTTTGTTGCACTGGCATTTAGTGTCCCATGCGCTGGAGATTAACTCTCATAGGGGCTTTGTTGTCCCCATAACATGACAACGGCCAACTTTTGTAGATAACACTAAATTCCTTACCATGTCTAATACCGAGGAGGAAAGACAGTGTTCGTAACTTAAAGTTACTTAATAGCATAGAGTTTTGATATCTACCATCAACAAGAACTGATGTTAGTTAGTTTTGTGATTTGCATCAGGTCCACAAGATTGTTGATCTATCAATGTTTCCTGGTCGAGAGGCAATGTGGTACCTTGAAGTCATGGAAGCATACAAAATGTTCTATGAACCTCTGGTTGAAGAATTTTCGTAACTCGTTTTGCTGACTCAACAGGTAATGCTTACTGTATTTTCATGTTAATCCTGTAACGAAAATGCATCAATTTATTGCAAGCTCACAGATGGGTTTTTTTTCTCTTATTACATATTTAAACTCCAATTGAAATTCTCATCTCATGTATTGTTAGGATGATCTTTTGATCTCGTAAGATCACAACTATAAGTTAGAGAATCCGAGTATTATCCTTTCGTAGGCGTAATAGAGAAAACATAAATAGATAAGGATAGGCAGATTAGGAGAGCCAACCCTGTTGCTGTCTCTGATGTTATAAAAAGGAATTACCATAGTAGTTGAGGTAATCCTTGGTCTTGTCTTTTAGTTTCTTTTCAACTATTTAAATGCTTGGTTTGTTGTAAATGTGCTATAAATAGAGTGTTTCTCTCTTGTGATCAATAACATTTGGATGATAATAAAGAAACGATTCAGATTCTTGGAGACTTCTCCTTGAGGCTAGTTAGGCTACACCATTTTGCCCCATCAGAAACATTTGTAGTGGACATATTAGAAAATTTCTATAACAAAGTTTGATCAAGGAATACATACAGAGTACTCGACCTAAGTTATGGGGTGATGGGTGTCATGGTCCTACCTTTTTCAGTATTCTGCAATTTCTTCTCGCATAGTTAGTAATAAGAATTCTATTGCCTCAATAATCAACAAAACAGTTTCAAACTAGTTGAACTGGGCAAGTTCTTTCTCCACAAAACCAAGCCCACTTATCTTGCATGTTGGATGGCACCCAAATTAACCAAGCTCTCTTTGCTTTTAGATGGCTTAATCTTAAGCTTATAATGACAACTTCCATGGAGCTTGAATGGCCCTTGTCTTCTCTTTGTGTCTCGAGTTGTCTCACCTCTTCTCCATGCCAAGATCACCGACTTTAGTCCTACCTCTACTATAGGCTGTAAGGCTAAGACTTTCTTGAACTTAGCGTCACCTTGCTTACTCAAATATAGCCCACAATGTTCTTTTTCTTGACTATTTGAGACACCAAGATGACTGTTAGTCCCTCTCTGCCTGGCGAAAATATGCATCAATCCTTGCTTAATGATTAAGTATCTTGATGCAATTTCCAGTCTTAAGAAGCACACATATGATATGACATGCCATGAGACTAGTTTCCCATTGTCCCGAAGGTGAGTCACAAAATCCAATAGTGATAGTGATCTTTTCCTTCTTGTAAGTTTTATGCATTTATTTGATTCAGAAATGATTTTAATCTATTTCCTTCTCAAAATTTATTTAAAGTTAAATATTCAACGTGTCTAAAATGTTGGACCTACATTAACTTCGTATAATTAGTGTCTAACCCATATATTATGTTAATAGGTGTCAAATGTGTTCAACAAGTATTAGAGTGTTTAAGGGTCTGACATAGTTGGACATGGACATACTAGCCAAACTAAAGTGTTCGTGCTTATTAGTATCCATCAACTTTGAAACCGTTTATAGTGACATAGAATGTCAACCATGTCTCTCATGCATACCTACTGCTAGATGCCTATTTTTGAGACTAGGCCATAGATTGAATTGAACCTCAAGCCAATATTGAGTACAATGTCGTGCACACCCATCACGAGCACAACAAGCATTGTTCAAGGAATTTTTCACTCCCCTTTGGAGATAATGAATCTTTTTTTTGTTCAGGATGTTCACGCATTACATTCCGAAGTAACTCTCCATGGAATGACATACTTTTGTGAAAGATCAAACTTTGTCTACCAAATGTTCGCTTAGGGAGAGGGACCCCGTTTACCTTACCCAATGATGCCGAAAGGTCCATGCCATAGAGTTAGAGCCTTCAATTATTATGAATATGTTGGGAGGGGTGATATGGAAAAACATGGTTTGACAATGAATTATTTCAGGTACCTAGTAGATTGGGACATATAGGAGAATAGGGAACAATTATTTGTTTTACAGGAGCTGCTAGTGTATTACAGCAATTATATACAACAATCATTTTGAAAAACCATCACTTTCTTTCCCATGTTAACTTCAAAACCATCATATTCTTCCTACTCTTCCTCCTCCTTTTCTCTCCTCTCGCATTCCATCATAGTTTGAGCACTGACAATTCAAATGGATGAAATATTAAAGAAAAATATTGTGTAATCCAAATTCTATCAACCTATCCTGAAGCAGAAGGTTTTTTTTTTTTTTTTTTTTTTTTTTTTTTTTTTTTTTTT